TTTCTCCAGCTGCCCATTCAATACCTACATTTTGGAAACCACTTAGTGTGTTCTCCAGTATTCCGTCCATGACGAAATTGAACAGGAATGGCGAGAGGGCACCCTTGACGAACACCGCTGCTAGTTACGAACAACCTACTAAGTTCGCTGTAGACCCCTACGCTACCAGAAGTATGTGAGTAAAGCGAACTCAGTATATTCACATACTTCTGTGGCATTCCTTTGCGAAGGAGTGAACCCATAAGCGATTCACGATCCACTGAGTCGAAGGCTCCTTTTAGGTCAAGGAACACGACAATCGTTCGTCAAAGGTGAGCATGGCGTAGCTCGAGGACTTGACGTAGGGTGAAGATTTGATCGATACAAACGCGACCTGGTCGAAATCCTGCTTGTTGTTCGCGGATGTTTGTCTCCATAAACGGCGTCAGACGTCGACGTATAACGGAGGCTAGTAACTTGGCGACGATTAGGATCAAACTTATTCCAAGATGGTTTGCGCAGTCATTGCGAGATCCCTTCATAAAAATTGGAACGATCAGTGATGATAGAATGCGCTGGTGTAACCAGATGTTACGCATTAAATCAGTAATGGAGTCTACAAAATTATCGCCCCCTCCCCATCTTGAAAAGAGTGGGAGGAAGCCCGTCTGACTTTGCTGCTTTTCCTTTCTCCAGGGCTTGGATGCAAGAACGAACTTATCCTGCAGTAGGAGGTTCAGATTGCACTGACCATGGAGCCTCAGCTACACCGGAGGTGATAGCCTGGTTAGTGCTGGCCAGCTGAACTGTTCGTTGAAGTACTCCGCCCACCGGTCAAGCCGTTGTTCTCTATTGTGAACAGCTTGTCTACTTTTGTCGCAGATTGTTTCACTAACTGGGGTTCGCCGACCTCCCGCATTGCGTATCAGTTGGAATAGTCTCTGACTATTCCCTGATACAGCCGCTAATTACATTTCACTAGCTATCGTTGGCCACCAGTTCTCACGGTCCTCCTTGAGGCTCCTCGTGAGTTGACTTTGTAGACGCCACTTAACCCTGCTTTGATCCCGGTCGGTTGGGATTTGCCGCTTTTTTCCAGCAGTGCTACTGACTCATCAGATACCCACTGCCTCGGGTGGGCTACTGCTTCAGATCCCCAAGCAACGTTCGCTGCGGAGTGCATTGCTAGGCTAATCTGATCCCATTGTTCATCTACACTAGCCCGCCGTGCGTTCAGCTCTTGCCCTAGTTCTGATTGAAAACAGGCACGAACGGCTGAGTCAGATAAGCGATGATCTGCCAATCAAGCTTGATGGAATTTTCTGCGACTAGTGAGTTGTAGAGTGAACTGCATCAAAACTAACGCATGATCAGATTCAACGCACGTGGTCCAATAGGACCTGCAGTTTGGTACTGAGCCACGCCAACGGTAACTTACTGCTATGTGGTCGATCTGAATGAGCCACGATGATCACCCAGCTGTGGGGACTCGTTAAATACCATATTTTCATCATAGTCTTGTGTGATGAACAGCATAAGGGGCAAACTAATAGTCACGAGTACCTCATGGGAACTGGCAACGTAAGCCACGGGACTTTAGAGGTGGGGAACTCTACTGGTTCAGGCGTGATGTTGAACCGGATTAAAGCGAAATTGACTGCCACCAAATATGCTTGGAAGTTTGTGGGGTTCGAACTGTAGACCACAAGGAACAAAGCACACCGGTGATAGCAACATTTCAGACCCAAATCTGTCAGTCTTTCGGAATGTCACTTTCATATATCTATACAGTTAATAGTCGTCTTCGATTGTCTCGAACTCTTTCTACCAAAACAATATCTTTCCGTGTTTCAAGAATTCTTATGGAATCTTTCACTCGGATGTTCGTATTTAATCAGTCACTTGGTACCAGAAGTGTTTTATGAATGAATATACATGTTTAAGCCAGTATTTTATGATCTGTTAACCTCATCTCCCCTTATCAAAACGAAAACATCACAGTTTGTTTATAATGGGACAGACTGTGGTACCATGATTTGTTTGGCACAGTATGGATTCAGACAGGTGTGAAATATGATAACCGTACACGCATCGCATGTCTCTGAACCCACGATCTACCCTATGATCTATTATTGATGTACGGAGTACGAGAGGTGATTCGCATGAGGACCTTATTTAAAGCGAACGTTACGAGCACACTTGACCGCGAACCTCGAACCGACAAAACGGATCAGACTGGATAGAAACATGGGGCACCAAAAGAGAGCAACCAAAAACGGCGCACGAAAGTGCATGGTTAATGGTTGTAAAAAATGAACTGAACTGAACTGGATAGAAACATGAAGAATACCATTAAATAGCAATTGAACCAAAAAGGGGCCTCTTTACATATATGCATATATATTAACACCAAACTTTACAGATACGGCGCCAAAAATAACTATGGGTGAACGAAAAAATATAGGTACAAAAACGGGGAAAATAAAACAGTCAACTTCGAGGAATAACAATATTTTTTGTTTGTTCGCTGCACTCTATTTTGAGGTTTTTTTGTTTTACTTTATTTTTGGGATTGTAGACGAGAGGTGATTCATTCACGCCATTGACTTCGGTTCGATGCCATATCCCGCAGTGTCTCTGTCCCCAGGAAGAAGCTCGACGCCAGCGTTCGCTGCGTTATGTAACGAGTTTTGTAGGACATTTATGATAAAGTTGAAGAGAAACGGAATGATGGGGCAACCCTGTCGCACCCTACTGGTGACAGGAAATGAGGGTGTAAGTTCACCATAAGCCCTAACCTTCCCCGAGGTCTGGTGATAGAGCGTTTTTAGGAGTGAGACATGCTTCTCGGGTACACCGTATCTCCGTAAACAGTTCCATAGTGCAGGGCGATCGATAGAGTCAAAAGCCGCTCTGATGTCTCAAAACACGACAATGGTTTGTCGTCCGTATACGAACGGCAGTCTTTCGCACATCCTCTCCATCTATAGCTAATAGCTATTTGGTCAATCTGACTCCACGTCTGTGCCGAAGAGGGGTCAAGCCAGGTGGCGCGGTGACGCTTATAGTGTCTGAAGTTCGTGCTAACGAGGAACAGACCGTGTAGTGGGCATATGCTCAGAAGTCTATCTCCATCATCTGAACGACAGCTATCAAGGCCATGACGGCCGTCAAGGTGGGTCTCATCGAGTGACAGACGACTAACGCGTGCATTTAGGTCTCCGGCCAGAATCACGATATCCGTCTTAGGTGCTTTGGGAAGAAGCTCATGTAGGTTGTGACAGAAGGCTCCCTTGACTGTATCCGGGCTACAGCCTGTGGGGGCGTATGCAGAAACCACGAATAAGCATCGTTCATTTGGTTTCAGCTTTTTGACCTTACTTGAGCCTCTGAGTCTCACTGCGCATAGTCGGCTATCTATCGGGATCCAATCCAATAGACCAGCCTCGGTCCTGGCGCTTAAAGCAATACCAACGCCTGCTTGACCAGACGCTGAAGCGTTAGGGTTCCCGGAGATGCGCAGCTGAAACGCTTCTTTTGGATTGGAAGGAGACGTTAATCGGATCACTGCGCTCGGATCCTGGATGAGTTTGCGAGAGGCAACACATATCAATCTCTAGAATTTCGAGCGTACGAGCCAAACCTGCTTGTTGTCCTATACGCATTAGAGTTCTTACGTTGAATGAAGCCAGCTTGAACGCAGAGTGAGGTTGGAGGAATGGAACGGTAGGCCCCGTGACAGATGTCAAGCAGAACAGCGGTGAGCTACAACATGAACCTACGTCAGTGGAACCGTTCGGGGTGGGGCAAACAGTAGAAAAAGTGGGGGTAATGTGTGGGGGCGAGTGAAAGTGTTGCGTGTAGATTTTAAGAGAAATTTTTGCAAAGGTGTAATAATCTGTGACATGCGTGTATGTGTCCAAAGTCCATGGTTAGGGGCCCGTTTGGTGAAAAGGGATACGAAACACGGTGTGGAATTTAATAATTAGTCTAAAATCAAGAAACACGCTTCCTGCTCTGATAGTATCCAAATAGTACACGAAGAATCGCAATCTCACGAAGTCCTGATCCCTCAGGGAGAGATGAAATGAGAATTCCAACTGGTGATGGTCAACTCAATTTCAAATGGTTATTGATGAACCGATACGTTACTCTAGCAGAATATCGAGAAACATTGGCTTATTTGTGATGTAAAAGAAATCAGTAGCTTAAGTGGGATTCCAATCGACATTCGGATGCTGCCGACGCTTTAGCACGACGTGTAATTTACCGACTACCAATTATGCGATTACATCAACAGTATTGAACTCGTCACAGGGGTGGTGGTGGCGCAGTGATTTAATCGCTGTCACAAGAGTGCTTCAGGTCCCTATGGTCCGAGCCCCGCCACCGCCACCCGACTTTGCTGGTAGGCAGCTCTGCTGTCGCCTAACCTATGGGGGCCTTATGTGATTCGCCACTCTAAGTCCCGGGGTTGCCGGTTCCCAATACTGAACAGTAGGTCCTCGTGACTATAGAGTTCGTCGGTTGATCATTACACTTAAGTGTAATTTTAAAAAATACTTTAAAAACTTGCAGAGGCATATGGACTTCTTCGATTAGCATGTGAGCTGTCTATCGAGGTGGTACATATCTCTTCACGATCCAACAAGAGAAACCAGATTTATCCGTGAGTGAACGTAAAACAGCAAAAACTCACCGACAAAATTTTGTGCCAACCCAACAATGGTGCCCATAAGAGACTGTTCACCGTGATGGTAGGCTGACATTTCGGAAACTGAACCGGACAATTGAGCAACCTTTATCTCTTTCACGAGATTTCGTTTCAGGCAAGTGAAAAGCACCTAGATTATGAAATGAACAGGAAGCAGATCAGAATGGTTCACAAAAGTGCTAGGTGGATAAAGACGAAAATACGGGGCGCTGTAAGATTCTTTCACACTGCACAATTCATGCTGACCATCTGAACGGAAAGACATTTCGTTGAAATTGCGGCTAAAAATGGTTAGTTGTAGGAAAAACAGTTATAATAACAGTGTGTAGCTAGTGTTAGTACACGTTTGAAGTGCACGTGAGAACAGAAAAATAAGAACAATTAACGCGTAACATTAATAAAATGGCTTGTGGTTTGTGTAAATTAATTCGACTTCACCATTGTCAAAATATTGTTGCTATGCGAGAACCGACAAGCTAAGCCGCGAGACTAAAAACGGCGAACCACCCATGAACAAATAAGATGGGCGTGGCTCCGAGCCGGTCGACAGCGAAGCCGCCTTCCATCAAAGGTGGATGGGATTAGCAGGGTTCGAACCTTGGGCCTGAGGCACGACGCACGCCAGAGACTTAAGCCGAGTGAGCACCACCATTATTCATCGTGTATTTCGCAATGGTGGTAAAGCCAAAGTGGTAAAGTCACTGACATCGAAGTTAAAATGAAACCGATAAGGAAACCAACAAAACAAAGAATTTCTAGTTCGAAAGAGTAGAACTGTACGCTAGAGTGAGTCACCAGATAGTGGATAAATAAATGATCGCCAATTCGCGGGCCGTGGCTCAACGAATAGCAGTCGGGAACGAACAACGGCAGTGCTCGAGGATATGATAGGTTAATTACTTGGGCTCTTTGCACAAAACGTCACACACCTCAGAACAGCGCTGTGATGTAGTTAATATGACATGTCAATCAATATGGTTATTGTATTTTCAAGCTACATTTGTCCGATAAGGTTTTCCAGAAGAGGTGAATGAACAAAACAGACCATTGGTTCACCTGGAACAAAGCTGCGACCACCAATTGCACTTAACACGAGCGCTTTCCCACATCCGAAAGTCTCAGTATGGTCGGGAGTGGGTATCTTGGGTTGTGACTGGTCACCCTTCCCTTGCACCTTATGAAATGCTCCCATATGGCCAAGCGTCTCGAATAGC